TTTGAGAGACAGTCTCATGCTGTCGCCCTGGGTAAAGTACCATGGTGTCATAGCTCATAGCAACCTCCAACTCTTAGGCTTAAGCGATTCTCTTGCCTCAGCCTCCCAAGTAGCTGGGACTACAGGCATCCACCACAACGCCGGGCTATTTTTTGGCTGTAGTTGTCATTGTTGTTTGGTGGGCCTGGGCTGGATTCAAACCTGCCAGATCTGGTGTATGTGGCTGGCGCCCTAGCCGCTTGAGCTACAGGCCCCGAGCCTAAAGTATTTTATTCCTAAAAAATGCTAATGATCATCTGAGCCTTCAGTAAGTCACATTGTTTTTGCTGGTGGAGGCTCTTGCCTTGATCTTGATGGCTCTTGAGTGATGAAGTTGGTGGTTCCTAAAAGTTAGGGTGGCTGTGGCAATTACTTAAAATAGTAATGAAGTATACTGTGATTGACTCCTCTCATCAAAGATTTCTCTATAACATGCAGTGCGATTTGGTAGCTTTTTTTTTTTTTTTCTGAGACCGAGTCTCACTTTGTCATCCTCAGTAGAGTGCTGTAGTATCATAGCTCACAGCAACCTCCGACTCTTGGACTTAAGTGATTCTCTTGCCTCAGCTTCCCAAATAGCTGGGACTACAGCACTCATCACAATGCCTAGCTATTTTTACAGACAAGGTCTTACTCTGGCTCAGGCTGGTGTTGAACCTGTGAGCTCAGGCAATCTACCCTCCTCAGCCTCCCAGAGTGCTAGGATTACAGGCCTGAGCCACCGTGCCCAGCCTATTTGATAGCATTTTATCCCCAGTAGGGATTTTTTTTTTTTTTTTTGAGACAGAGTCTCAAGCTGTCACCCTGGATAGAGTGCCATGGCATCATAGCTCACAGCAACCTCCAACTCAGGTTCAAGCGATCCTCTTGCCTCAGTTTTTCTATTTTTAGTAGAGGCAGGGTCTTGCTTTTGCTCAGGCTGGTCTCGAACTCCTGAGCTCAGGCAATCCACCCGCCTCGGCTTCCCAGAGTGCTAGGATTAGAGGCATGAGCCACCATGCCCGGCCCCCCACAGTAGAGCTTATGAAACCCTGCTGCAGCTTTATCAGCTGAGTTTATATAGTATTTTGAATCCTTTGTTGTCATTTCCACAGTGTTCACAGTATCTTTACCAAGCCTAAATTCCATCTCAAGAAACCACTTTCTTTCCTCATCCATTCAAGTCTGATCATGAGATTGCAGCAGTTTAGTTAGTCACGTCTTCAGGCTCTCCCTCTAAGTCTAGTTTTCTTCCTTAATTCTACCACATCTGCAGTGACTTCAACCACTAATGTCTTGAACCCCTTAAAGTTCAACCATCAGGGTTGAAACCAATTCCTTCCAAATTCCTGTTAATGTTGATATTTGACCTCTTCCTGTGAATCTTGTTTGAATGTTCTTAATGACATATAGAATGGTGACTCCTTTCCAGAAGGATTTCAGTTTACATTGTCCAGACAGCTGTAGCCTGATGAAATGTCATCTGAAGTAACAAGGCTTGAGAGTTGAAATGAGTCTTTGATCCATGGGCTGCAGAATGGATGTTGTGTTGTTAGGTGTGACAACATGAATCTCCATGTACATCTCTGTCAGAGCCCCTGGGTGACCAGGTGTCAATGAGCAATAATATTTTGAAAGGAATTGTTTTTTTTCTGAGTGGTAGGTTCTCAATAGTGGGCTTGAAATATTCAATAAACCATGCTGTAAACAGATGTGCTGTCATTGAGGCTTTGGGCTGCCATTTAAAAGCACAGGTGGAGTCAGTTTAGATAATTTTTAAATTCCCCAGATCTTTGGAATGGTCAGTGAGCATTGGCTTCAACTTAAAGGCACCAGCTGCATTAGCCCCTAACAATTCTGTTGGCCTGTCCTTTGAAGCTTTGAAGCAAGGCTTTGACTTCTCTCTAGCTATGAAAGTCCTGGATGGTATCTTCTACTAGAAGGCTGCTTCATCTATATTGAAGATCTATTTAGTGTTGCTGCCTTCTTCAATGATCTTGGCTAATATTCTTCTGAATAACTTGCTGTAGCTTCTACATCAGCACTTGCTGCTTCACCTTGCATTTTTATGTTATGGAGACGGCTTCTTTCTGACTTAACTTAAATGTCATTAAATAACCTCTGCTAGCATCAGACTTTCCTTCTGCAGCTTCTTCCCCTCTTCCTGCCTTCACAAAATTATGAAGAGAGAGTCAGGGCCCAGGGCTTTGCCCTGGATTAGGTTTTGGCTTAAGAGAATGGATCTTCTATCTAAACTATACCACTTACTCCATATCAGCAATAAGACTGTTTCACTTTCTTGTCATTCACAGAAGTAGCACTTCTGATTTCCTTCAATAATTTTTTCTTTGCATTCCAACTAGGCTGACTGGTATAAGATGCCTAGCTTTCAGCCTGTCTTGGCTTTTGATGTGAGTTCCTCACTAAGCTTACTTGTTTCAAGCTTTTGATTTAAAGTCAGAGATGTGTGACTCTTTCACTTGAACATGTAGATGTCATTGGAGTGTTAATTGGCATAATTTCAATGTGCTTATGTCTCAGTGAACAGAGAGGCCTGAGAATAGAGATCACACCTCAGCCTTTTGGCTAAGATCAAATGTGAGAAGAGAGAGGGAGACAGGGAACCACTGGCTGAGCAGTGGAGCAGTCAGAGAACATACAGTGTTTATCCATGAAGATTGCTATCTTTTGGGGGTACTGTTCATGGTCCCTTAAAACAATTGCAATAGTAACATCACAGGTCATCATAACAGAGTAATAATTAAAATGTTTGAAACGTGGAAATTACTATGGTGTGACACAGAAATGCCACATGAGCACATGCTATTGGGAAAATGGCACTGATAGACTTGCTCAACACAGGGCTGCCCCAGACTTAAAATTTGTAAAATCCACAATATCTATCAAGCTAGCAATATCTATCAAGTTAGCAAGCTGTGCCGTGTGATGGGCACAAGGGAAACCCAGAGGGCTCTGCTCCAGTTACTATAGTATGCTGCCCCCATACTTGCCCATCTCAGGTCATTTGCAAAGGAATGCCTGAGGTTGTATAATTTATAAAGAAAAGAGATTTGTTTTGGCTTCTGGTTCTGCAGATTATACAAGAAGCCAGGCACTAGCATCTGCTTCTGTGGAGAACCTCCGGGAGTTTTCACTCCTGGCAGCAGGGAGGGGAGCATGTTGGAGAAAAAGGACAAGAGGGAGGGAGGAAGGTGCCAGGCACTTTTCAGCAAGCAGTTCTCAAGCCCTGCTTCAGGGATCTGCCCTTCTGACCCCCAAACCTCCCATTATACCCTACCCACAACATCGCAGATCAAATTTCAACATGAGGTTTGGAGGGGACAAATATCTACTCTATCACTACCCCAAAATGCAGTGCTTTAAAACAGCAGTAATAATTTCATTAGCTCCTTAGTCTGCATTTTGACCTGGGTTTTGTGGGGGTGGTTCCACTTGGTGTCAGCGGAGACAGCTCACAGATTGAACACTCAGCTCTCCCCTTTATAGCAAACTCCTTGGAAAACTTTCCTATACTCACTTTCTCCAATTCTTTCCCACATTTCCTTCTTTTAGAAGTATCTTTTTAAATAATTCATTTTGAAATAATTTCAAATGTTGAGAAAATTCACCAGAAAGATTAAAAGACTCCCAGATTCCCTATTATTAATACAGTCATCACAGTGGCTTCACTGGTCAGTATTCCTTCCACTGTCTCTGTGCACATCTACCCAAGATCATCCATCTCTTGTGAATCTTTAGAAAGCATGACATCCCATCACCACGAAGCACTCCGGTCTGTGTCTTCAAACAACAAGGACGTTTTCCTGTGTAACGAGCACAGTCTTCCGAGTCAGGAAGCCGCTTCTCTGCGACACTGCCATCGGGGTGCGGGTCCCTTCCCATTTCACCACAGTGTTGGTCTCTACACTGTTCGTTTCTGGTCTAGGAGCCTATTCAGGAATATGGGATGTGTTTGTTTGTCATTTCTCTTCAGATTCATTCAATTTGAAATAATTCCTTAGTCTTTCCCTTGACACTTGTGGAAACTACATTGTGTGGGATTTCCTCCAACCTGAATCTACCCAATATTGACTTGGGCCCAGACTTAGTCACACGTTCTTGGTAACACCCTCACAGAAATGACACTACAAGCCTTAAATCGGGTGACAAAGAACATCAGCCTGTCCCATCAGTGTCAAATGTTAACCTTAATTTCCTGATCATATTGGTGTCTACCAGATTTTTCCACACTGAAGTCATCATTAACCCCTTTGTAATTGATTAGTATTTTTTGGAGAATTTTCCAATAATGCATCAATACATTCTTCATCAAACCTCCACCTACCAGACTTAACATCTTTTGATGACTCTCATCTGAAACACCACTGTGACAGGGCTAAATGGTGATTTTCTGTTTATTTTATTCCTTCTTCATTTATCAGTTGGTAAGGAATAATATTATTCCATCCCTCCCTCCCTCCTTCCTTCCTTCTAAAAGGACTCATTAATTCCTATTTTATTCACTCATTGATTTCTATTTTATTCATGTATTAGTCATAGTAACCCATTATTATCATCATTCTTTTAATGACCAAATTGTCAATTTAGCCAGTGGGAGCCCCTTCCAGTCGCCTCCTTTGTGTTTTCACCATTTCACTGAGCACCTCCTTACTTCCTGGCACAAAGAAAGTATACCTGGCTCCTTTCATACTTCCCTGACCCAGGCCTTGGAATCAGCCTTTTCTTCAAGGATCTTGGGTTCCTGGCAGCATGGAATATAGGCATTTAGAAAACAAGATCTGGGAGCTCAGTGTGCTTAAAGCTACTGGGGCGGCTATCATTACTTACAGGCCCTCTCAGCAGAAAAAACAAGCTGAAGTCACTAATGTTGGATCTTTGATTGTAGGGCAGTAACTATAATAACAAAATCTCTTCAGAGAGAAAAATAAACTTACTCTCTTTCCCCTCTCCAACCCCTCCAGGTATGTGTAATCCTCGAAATTACAGTGACACACCTCCAACTTCAAAGAGCACAGTGGAGGAGCTGCACGAGCCCATCCCTTCTCTCTTCCGGGCACTCACAGAAGGAGATACTCAGTTGAATTGGAATATTGTTTCCTTCCCTGTTGCAGAAGAACTTTCACATCATGAGAATCTGGTTTCGTTTTTAGAAACTGTGAACCAGCCACACCACCAAAATGTGTCTGTTCCCAGCAATAATGTTCACGCACCTTATTCCAGTGACAAAGGTAATTGCTAACAGTTGGCTTCTTCTCTTCTGCCCCCTCATGTGGTCTGTCCATGTGGTCTATGAAACCTATGTCAAGACTGTATTTTAGAAGTTTTTTTTTGGTTTTAAATTTATAGAGTCTTATATAAATTCAGTAACTCTAGTCCCTGAATAGATAAAGGTGGAATGTTACCTTATTATTAAAGTTCTTCATACTCCTGATAGCATCTATACTGTATTAGAAAATAGATAACTATCCCTCATCCTGGTATTTATTGCTTTGGGTTTTAATTATTCTTTTCATAAGATAGCAACAGTGCAGCCTCCTCAATACAGAGTTGCTCACTGTCAAGTAACTAACATTCAGAGAGCCCCATGAAGTTATTTTTACCATAGCCCTGGTACCAAAATGATGCCATGGTCATCAGCTAAATTTTGTTATTAGCAAATTAGTATTACAGACATCTCATTTCCAGGTAGAAGTTAACCCCTCGCTAGTTCTCTGCAAATGAGTGACTGTTAGGAGAAGTAAATGAGAGAATGACTTATACAAATTTGAAAAGCATATTCAAGAACATTTATTAGTGAAGATAGGACAGATCATAATTGTGGGATGTCAAGGATGTGTAACTTTTATAAATTCTTTGATATTTTTCAATGAAAGACACTATAAAATTTTACTGTAGAAGAATAAAACAATTATGAAAATTATAGTTATTTCTTAAGATATGAGATGAATTATATATAAGTAGTAAAATTTATACTCTCTTTATGTGAATATTTGTTGTGCCCTCCACAAAAATCTCATATAAAATAGTATGAACTTTGGACACTAATAGTAAAATCAAAAAACAGCTTTCATTAAATAACACTCAGTAAAAAAAAATTTTTTTTTTTTTTTTTTAAGACAAGCTCTCACTCTGTTACCCAAGTTAGAGTGCAGTGGAGTCATCATAGCTCCCTACAGCCTCAAATTCCTGGGCTTAAGTGATCTCGCTGCCCCAGTCTCCTGAATATGTGGGACTACAGACATGTGCCACCATACCTTATTAATTTTTTCATTTTTTTTTTTTTTTTGAGACAGGGCCTCAAGCTATCCCCCTGGGCAGAGTGCCGTGGCATTACAGCTCACAGCAACCTCCAACTCCTGGGCTCAAGCGAGTCTCCTGCCTCCGCCTCCCAAGTAGCTGGGACCACAGGCGCCCGCCACAACGCCCGGCTATTTTTTGGTTGCAGCCGTCATTGTTATTTGGCAGGTCCGGGCTGGGGATTCGAACCCGCCACCTTAGGTGTACGTGGCTGGCGCCTTAGCCGGTTGAGCTATAGGCGCCGAGCCAATTTTTTCATTTTTTATAGAGATAGAGATCTTATCATCTTTGTCAGCTGGTCTCACACTCTTGGCCTCAAGTGATCTCAAGCCTCAGATTCCCAAAGTGAGAGGATTATAGGCTTGAGCCAGCGTGCCTGGCCTAGAATAAGAATTCTTATTTCCGTTTAGGTTAAAGTACTTTATAAAACAAATGGTAGATTTTGGAAAACCTCTGAAATATGTCTGGAATGTGATAATAACAAGATGTTTTGCTACCATTTTCCCCATTACTAAAAAATGTAAATAATACACATAATAGATTTTAAATAATAACTCAGATTTTGCTCAAAGATTATTTTAAATAAGTAATTTAATTATTTCACAAAATGATTAACAGGAAGCTAATTCCTGGAAATAGCAACTATCTTCCAGATAGAGCTGAAGTTTTCCTTGGGGACACCTTCCCCAGGCACCTCTTCCCCAGACAGAGTGGGCCACTTCCTGCTCCTCTTCCCACCTGTGCAGTTGTGTTTCTTGTCTGTTTTTAACTTACTGGTCTACCATTTTCTACTTAGTTCCTTGGATTCTCCAATTACTATTTGAGTTCCGAATCAGTGCTCTGCTGTCCTGAGTGTCCTCTCTAACCCCAGTGGTTCCTCTTCTCTTGACACCTTTCATCCACTACAGTCCACAGTTGGGCTTGCCTCTATTCTGTCCCTGTGCACACTATCCCCATCTCCTTAGGACTGTTTGCACTGTTACCTGGTAGCTTTAATTCTTAATGTAAGTCCAGTTTTTTTCATTAAACTTTCCCTTGCTATTCAGAGCACCCCCTGATAATTTATCAGTTCTGTAAATGGCTTTGTAGAATAATTTAGCCTTTGATCATGTGCTGTCTATTAATGATTTTTATTGTCCTTTATTTCATGCACCTATCTTCCTAGCTGGTCATATGGGGTTACTGTGCCAAGAAAGTTAGATTGTTTCAATTTGAAACAATCAAAATAATTAAAAGTGGTTGTCTCATTGGAAAGCAGGACTAGAAATCACTATTAATAAGAAGAATATTTTTGATAGCTAATGCTTATTGTGCCAAGTATTGCTAATCATTTTACATCATTTGAATTACTTCTTTGTTTTATTTAGTGTAAATTTTCTGTATAACTCTTTTTGGCTGGAGAACTCTTTCTACATAGGAAATCCTGTCAGAAATGCCAAATTTAAGAAGCATAGCTCTATAGCATAGCAAGTGGTTTTTGGTTTGTTTGTTTTGAGATAGAGCCTCACTTTGTCGTCCTTGGTAGAGTTCTGTGGCATCATAGTTCACAGCAACCTCAAACTCTTGGGCCCATGCAATCCTCTTGCCTCACCCTCCTGAGTAGCTGGGACTATAGGTACCTGCCACAATGCCCAGCTAGTTTTTCTATTTGTAGGAGAGATGGGGTCTCACTGTTGCTCAGGCTGGTCTCAGACTCTTGAACTCAAGAAATCCCAGAGTGCTTGGATTACAGGCATGAGGCACCACACTTAGCCATAGCAAATGTTTTTAAGTCCAGTGTTCTAACTTTTAGATCTAAGTCTGAAATCTGCAAAAAGAGGCTAAGGAAGGCCATTGCCTTCTTTAGATTGAATGGGAAAATCCAGCTTCCTTTTCAGATAATGAGAAAATGAATTTTTTTTTCTTATACATCATCTATGTCCTATGAAGACTGTCAGTAAAAGAACTAAGTTGACTGTTAATCACTTGGGTAGCCAAGCACAGTGGCATCTACCTGAAGTTTTGCACCCAGGAGCTAGAGGCTGCAGTGAACTATACACTGCATAGCCACTCCAGCCTGGACAACATAGCAAGATCCCTGTCTCTAAAAAAATAATACCAACTGGGTAGTAAAGCATTTCCTGTTTTCCTTTTTTCTTGCTCTGAAATCTTAAACTTTTATTTTTCAGAACACATGTGTACCGTGGTTTATTTTGATGACTGCATGTCCATCCATCAGTGTAAAATATCCTGTGAGTCTATGGGAGCATCCAAATATCGCTGGTTTCATAATGCCTGCTGTGAGTGTATTGGTCCAGAGTGTATTGACTATGGTAGTAAAACTGTCAAATGTATGAACTGCATGTTCTGAATACGGAAAAGAAATGCAACCAAAGCAATTTAGTCAAGACGAGGGTATGGAAAGTTATTCAGTGAGTCTGTTGATTGCATCACAATGCCAGCAAGTTAAGAAGATTTAAGAATTTGGAATGAGTTGCTTTTAAAGTTATGACATATCCAGTAATGTCTTAAATTATGTGATTATAACTGCTCTTATTGATTTTACAGCTCACTACCAATATGCCCTTTCCTTTGAATACACACACAGCTTTGGTCATGTGAGAAGCAGGTGCACAGAGCATTCCTTGAAAGGTCTGAGGTTTTTAACATAAAGCCAAATGCTGTTTTCTTTTAGCATTCCAAAATCTTTTTGTTGTGAAAATATTAGCAGAAGCATGTTAATGTGGGTTACGATTTCTTCACATGCTACTCCTCGGACACTGAGTTTTTATAGTTGCACACCAGTCTTCACTATGCCTTGTATTTATCTATTTTATAAATAGAGTAGATATTCAAATATATCACTGTAAGAATGCAGATAATCACCAAGAAAAGCTTAATTTCAAACTTTTAATGTTGGTTTTAGAAAATAATGCTTACTATATTTCACAATTGAAAAGTCTCACTAGTGGTATTCATTCTGTAATACACATGTTGACAAAGCTTTAGGGAAAATTCCTCATTCTCTTGCATTCCCCTTCCCAAAGTGCTGACATTGGCAGTGATGAAGAATCTTTACCAAGGATTTCAGGGTACCACTTTAGAACTGCATTAAATACACCACAAGGGCAAATAGCAAGTTAATGCATTTCTGTGACTTTAGGTACCAACTTAAAGAAGGGGGTGGAGAAAAACTGACAAATGAGACACACTTAGAGCAGCAGGGAAATAGCTTATCCCCTCGTAGGGACATGGGACATGGTGTAGCTGAGCGGTGAGGTTGTGCTGGAAGTGAGACAGCAGCATTCTTCAGGGGATGAGGGCACTAGAGGACTTGAGGAAGAGAATTTACAGGTATGAACAGGGAAGGGTGAAAATGCTCAGACTTATAACAGGAAACAGACTTAACACTACATTCATTACTTTTGTTATTTTGCAATCTTTTACGTGTTAAGTTTATGTCTGATCTAATGTTCTTATTAAACAAGTATCATATTGTGGGGGTTAAGATTATAAAATTTAAAAATTTCTGTTCAAGATGATGCTCATTCCAAATACTCTACCGAATATTAGGTCAGCTTTCTATATAATGTTTCATTAAAGATATGCTTAAATACTGTGTGCTTAAATACATAGTAATACCAATTTTCAATCATGAATTTGAAGCAAAGATTTATATTACAGAGACTCTTAACTTTATAGGATTACTAATTTCTCCAGTGCATATCTGAATTACAAGTAACTTTCTAGGAATACCTCTTTATACATTTACATATTTTAGTATATAAAAACAGATAACATTTTGTATTATTCATTATCTGAACAGTGGTTAGTTAAAAGATCATTTGTAATGTTATGATTACCTACTATAAAATTTAAAGCCTTGATACCTTTTCTGTTGTTGCAGATAACTCTAATGAATATTCAAGGTACTTTAGCCTTTAAAAAAGTTGAGATATAGCTCATAGATGTATTTTTTTTTTGGTAGGAAAATATTGGAGTATCTTTTTCTTTTACTTAGGATGCCTCTGTTTAAAAGTGCCTTAGAAACATTTTAGCTCCCCTTCTTCATTAATACCCATAAAGCTGAGAGTTATTTTTGAACTTTAGAGAAAGCAAGCTTTAAGGGAATCTATCTATACCCAGCTGCTTTATTTCAGCTGTGCTGTTTTTCAGAGTCATTTCCTACCTGTGAGTGGAGGTATACTTTTGTTTTCATTGCCAACATGCTTAATGTTTTCTTAAAGATGACAACAAACATTTTAAAACCGCGTTTATCATCTTTTTTTAGGACTGGTTTTTCTTACCTCTATTTCTAACATTAGAAATTATCCCTAAATGTTGCAATGGTCTTTTATATTCAAATTTTGTTTAATTTTTCTGATTTTTGGAGGGGTCAAAGGAAAGAGTTTACCTAAAAAATTTTATTTCTAGTTTTATAACGTATTTCAGGTTTTGAATAACAATATTTTTCCAAATTGAAAGTATTACGTTTGAAAAGCCAATACCCTCGCTAAAATTTTGACACTATTACCATTCTAAGCATATTTGTTTCTTTTTTCTTTATTTTTTCTGTTGCAGACAGAGTCTCAAGCTGTCACCCTGGGTAGAGTGCTGTAGTGTCATAGCTCACAGCAACCTCAAACTCTAGGGTGAAGCGATTCTCTGGCCTCAGCCTCCCAAGTAGCTGGGACTGCAAGTGCCCACCACAACGCCTGGCTGGTTTTTTTTGTTGTTGTTGCAGTTGTCATTGTTTTTTTAGCTGGCCCCGGGCCAGGTTTGAACCCACCACCCTTGGTGTATGTGTCCGGCACCCTGCCAACTGAACTATGGGTGCCACCAGCATATTTGTTTCTATATTGAAGCTTTGGTAAAATTTGTTTTGTTAATAAAAAATTAAGTACTTTTTTTATTACCAGATCCAAAAAAAAAAAAAAATTTAGATTCTAACTTGGTTAGTATAATAAAAAGCCATTACTATCCTCCCCTATAGTAAGACATGTGCTTGCTAGCAGGTTTTTGTTATTTTTCTCCCATAAAATGTATTACTAGTAAAACTCTACTTACAATAGTGGTGCCAAATCAAATAAAATTGAGTTTTTGTTTACATAGGGTGGTATGAAAGAGGTCTTCATTTAGAAACATGATCTCTAAAATTTCAGATAACAAAGTTAAGATGTTATAATATTTGAACAATTATTTATGAATCAGAATAGCATCAAAATGGAAAAAAGAAACTACAACTTTTCTGAAAAATTAGATAAAAACAAGCCACATTAAAAAAGTTTTTTGTATGAAACCTTGTTTGAGGATTTTTAAAATCTATTTTGCAGTCCCCAGAGTCTATGTTTATTGTATTTTACATGATCTATAACATATAAAATTGAGTATTTTTTTCTTTAATCATCCCTGTAAACAAAAAGTATTTTAATAAAAAATTAAAATGAGTGTGAGTCATGTTTTTTTGTTAACTTTAGAATGGATCACCAAAGTAAGTTTGACATCTCTGTCTGGTAAAGTTAATGTTCAGGGGTCTTTCCTCTCTTGATGTCCCTACAGAGTCTGTTGGAATAGGAATCTCTGAATAGTTTTCTATCTATCTGTTCATATACTCTATTCAAAGGGGAGAGCCTTTGAATGAACACTGAACCACTCTTCTTGCTCTGGAGGCCTGAGGATGAACAAGAACCATCTAATGGTTAGAAGGAGTTAAGGGAAGATTAAGGTAAGAGAATAACCTTCCCAGTTCTCCCAACACCATTCTCACAGGGTAATGTTACTGCTAGAATTCAGAACCGTAGGCATTGCTGTCATGGAAAAATCCACATCATTTCACAGAAGTCACATTTTGACAGCCTGTGAATGGCAGATTCGTAGAAAAGGGAAGAATTAGAGGACAGCTGAGTGACTGAAGAGAAGATGGGGCTAAGGAATTGAAGAGGTACAATGAGAGAACATTTGACTAGGAAAGTTGTTTCTTTGCTGATGGTGTCAGAATGGCAGGTGTTCGTGTGAAGAGTCAGAAGACAGTAAAACTAGAAGTGCAGAGCTGCACTGGGGTCATCTCTACACCTGAGCAGACAGGAGCCACCACAGACGGCAGGGCTGGGACCTGTGGTGTCTCTGGCTCCACCAGCGGCTCTGAACCTGGCATGCTTTGAGTTTAGTAGCTAGGCAGACACGGTCCTTAGCTTATGGTGTTAGGAATTATGGCTCTTCCACCTTTTAGCTTTTTCTATCAAATAAAAATTAAGTTTGTTTTGCCTCCTCTTGTGTTAAAGTCTGTGCTTGAAGCATGGATTCAGCAAATAACTTCAACATTCTGCATTTGAGAAGGACGAACCCTGCCCTCTCCAGTAGTGCTGGGAAATCCTCAAGTCTGTGCTATGACAGAATGAAGCCTAGAAAAGTACAACCCCTCCCCTTGGCCCCCTGCCAGTCAAGGTGAGAGAAATTCCCTCCTTGGGCTGAAGAAGGCCACTGAAGTCAGACAGTCACCAGTGAAATATCTTTACATAAAATGGTGTTTCCTGACTTCCCACCTTACTTGCTTCAGCAGGATCTTTCTAAAACACATGTGCATGCCAACAGCAAGGCCCAAGTGCTCCTGTCCTTCAGAAAGGTTTGAGTTACCCACTAGGAAGCCTGAGTAAGGGCAGACAACCTGCCTTTGGTTTTCTAGAAGCTCTGGGGCTCCAGGGTATCCCGCTAGAGGGAGGGGAGAGAGTAAGGCTTGAATGTGAGAGAAGAACCTGGAAGGAATCCCCAGGTGTGGGTCTCAGGGGTGGGTCTCAGGATGGGTCTCGGGTGGGTCTCCTGCTATGTCTTAAGTATGGCTCACAGTGTGCCCAGGCTCCCTGGTCTGCAGCTGCCTCTAGAGTCCCACTCAGGAACATTAGCAGCCAGCACTTGTTGTGTACGACCCCCTGAACTTGCCTCCAGGGTGTCGTGAATCCCAGGATGGGTGATAGAGCCTCTCTCCCAAACAATGTCAGATGGGATGGAGCTCAGAACTAAATTTTATTTGATTTAAAGAAAATTGAGACATATCACGTTGTAGCTCTGCATCTGCAGAATGCATCTGTGACCCCAGCTCCCTAGAGGGATAGCCTCAGCCCGTGGGTCCTCTGCCTGCTTCACGCCCTTTCCTCCACTGCCATCACCGCCGGCTTTGCTCCCTCAGCAGCTGGGTTTGTTCCATCCTCTCCACCCTTGGGTTTCTACAGGAGTTGTTTCCTTACCTGGGGCTGCTGTTCATGCAGCCAGTGGCTCCTTGCTCTGATTAGGCCGCAGTTTGAGGCCACCTCCTCAGAGAGTTCTCTGACCACTGCTTCTAAAGCAGCCCCTCCCACTCACCCATCCCATTTCCTGCTTTCTCTCACATCCAAAAGCATTCATTGGTTACTTGCTTATCTTCTCTTCTCCTAGACTCAC